GTTAGCGGAACTCCGCCTCATCCCATCTTCCTGCTGCTTGAATATCTCCTTCCTGCATGCTACATTTCCCTTCATTCTTTCCGGCTATTCTTTGAGGCTACTGTACCACTCCACCACATGATGGCTAGTTGGCTGGTTTTTTTACTGGCCTCAAAAATAAGTGCAGCATGGGGACATCAAGGACCAGGTGCAGTTCTTGCTTTCTCCAATTGGCCTGTTGAAGGAAGCCTACTCAGGAGCAGCAGAAGTGAGAATATGCTTGCGTGATTGCATGTGCGGTTCTGAGATTTGGGAGTTCAAAAATGGAGGGTGCATGGAAGACTTCTAAGAATGAAGTGAAAGTTGCATTTTTCTAAAGCAATGATGTTAAAACTAGCCTTGATAATTTGTATGTGTTGGGGAATAATATTCTCCAAGGATTCTTCCATGATGAAAGATAACAGCTTAAAAGCAGTTGGTCCGTTATGATCATCTTAAGAAGCTGTCTTAAACTAAGTCAGACTGTTGCTCCATCTAGATCAATAACTCCTAGGGATGGGAAGGGGGAAAAGTTCCTCTTCGTGATGTTTTTATTATGCTTTATATTTTTTTATCTTCTTTGTTGTATCTTTATCCTTGTGTGATTTCTGGCTAAGCTTAGGCAATTTTTTTTAAAATAAAAACCCTCTTCATTGGCTGATTCACCAGGGAATGAGTTATTCCCAGCCCTACCCAGAGATCCAAGGACAGAACATGGGACTTTTTGCATGCGAAATATGTGCCTTACCATACCCCGCCAGTTAGGAACATAGGAAGTCACTCAAAGACCACTGATTCACCTTTCTCTGTGCTAGAATAGTTGATGCTCTTCAAGGTCTCAGATAGATCTTAAGACCCGTCTGGAAGTGCTAGGAAATTAAGGAAGAGAGCTATAGCCTTTTCTGACACTTTCTGTTTCCTGAACAACCAAGAAGAAAACTAGCTGCATTCTTAGTCATGCTCTCAATTTCTTCTAGGGAGATCAATAAGCTTTCTTGGTGTCTGAAATAGACTAAACGTGAGCCAAAGAACACACATAGACATATACCACCCTGATATTCTGTAGTGCAAAGGGTTGATCTGATCAAATTGAACACACCCAGTCAAAAAAAGCAGCCATCAGTGGGATTTGTCGCATGTCATGTGCCTCCTGAGTAAGGGAGAAGCAATTGTGATCCAGGAAAATACAAGCATGTGCCTTCCTCTTGGAGAAGGGGCATCCATCCATTTCCACCCAGGTCAAAACATTCCTATCCCTAAAGCCATTCCTCAGGGCTGCTCTGCAACTCCACCCTTCCCTCCTCCTTTCACTGATGAAGCCTACACAATGCTGCTCTTGCTTCAGGCGTTCTGTTCCCCCACCTCCACCCTCAAAGCCTGCAGGAGAACCTCGGATTTCAGAAGAACAGGGACGTTGTCTAACATGCATCAACCTGCTCACCATACTTTTTGCTTAGACTTGTGTTCCTACCTCTGAAGGTGGCTCTGGATGTCACATTCTCCCTTTTACCTGGAAATAACCAGACATGAAACTGAAGACCAGAACTGCAAAAGGCAGGCATAAAAGTGAACTTTTATTGGGGAAGAGTATTGCAGCAAACCACCACAGTAACACCACAGTAACAAGAGGCCCTCTTGAGATTGCTAGTTTTAACCCCTTAGAAGAAATCCTCCCTCCCACATTCACACAAAGGCCCTGTTTCCAATTTCTTGCCCTGAGTGAGAAAACCCTGCAGAATAAAAGCACTCGAGAAAGCAAAGGCAATTAATCTTGTTTAACTCGGTTCAGCTACTGTTCTGGTATCTTTGCCATGCAAAATAATGTTTAAGCTTTGGTTTTTAGTCTCGTTCACAGTTAAATATACAAATTACATACATACATACATACATACATACATGTATATATATATATATATATA